TTTTCAGCTATAAACTACAACTTGATGGTGCTTATCATATCCTGTGAATATAAGTGGGAGCAGAATTTGGACCATGGATTTTTTTAGTATTTTTCCTTGGAAAACATACATGATTTTAAAGGCATATAGCTAAATTAATTGTTACAATGCAGCATATAGAAAGGTCTTGCTTTGTTAGTGAAATTGAGTTGTGCACTCTTCTAATAATGTTAGTATCTGGGCAATGTGTAACACGTTATTGAATATCTTCTATTTAAGGTATGCTCTTGATCATGGTCTAGAGACGATAGAGATGAATGATATTCAATCATGTGACTAAATTAAAATGTAGAGATACTACACTGTAGAAATGTTCTGCACCTAGAGTTTTACTTTTTTAAAGATTGATGATGCTGGGAGATGTTGCTAATGTATTTTCTTTCAAGATGTGAACAGACTTTTTTAGAACATTAATGGAAATTACTGTATTGGTTTTTAACATAATTTTTTTAAATAAAAAGTTTACAGTCATGGCAAAAAGCCTTTGCTGACTATTTGCATATTTACCTAAAATATGAATGAATAAACTTGTTTTTACTAAGACACTTCTACTGATCTTGATCTTGCTTTATGCCGTTTCTTTTTGATGCAGAATTCTGTCCAAAATTATAAAATTTACTTCCTAAGGCGTGACATTAGAAATATCCTATTTAATTTTTAGATGAAAAACTTAAATTCTTCGACATCTTAATAATCAAACTTATGTATTATGTTAAATCTAAAAAAAAAAATATTGTGTTCTTACATTTTTTTATTTTGTGAAACCTGTTAAAGTCTCATGATTCTCCACTCTGAACTGCTCCTAAAATTGGTATCTCGGATATTGATATCTTGACTTAAGAAATCTGTGGAAGAGGTCTCTACCATCTTTCATTTTATTCTGCTTGTCATTCTGTCCATAACTTGTTCTTTGTAGATTTGCAGATGAGTTAGAGAAAATAAAGATACAGGTATCTTATTAAGAGCAAATTGGTTTTTCTCCCCTGGATGTGAATGTAAACCAGTTCTAAGTCAGTAAGTGTTTTGTAACCTTACTGAGGTGCTGAGTCCGACATCCTATTTTAATTCTAGTTTCCCTATCAGGCAATCAAAGTTTGAACTAATTCATGTCACCCTGTAGTCAAAAGCAAGTAATACTGTTTTGTCAGGAAGTAAGCACTTTGTGCCTCTGTTTCTAAAAATATCTGTTGAATGGTCATGGGGTGTGGGGTTCCTGTCTGAGCACTGGACAACTCAGAGATGCCGAAGAGACTCAAGCTGTGTTTCACCAAATGAAAACAGGTGAGAAGTAGTGAAATCCACTGTGTTAAATGCTCCTCTCCTGCAATGTAGTTACTGGGTGTTGTCCAGCCCCTTTAGCAGAGAAGAGCATTTGATGCTCCCATCCATCTTAGACAAGTGAATAGGTTGAGAAATGTTTAGTTGTAAAGTTTTTATGTCTGGAATGGGCTCTCTGGTTCTTACTGAACCTTACTGAATCTTACTGTGCTGGATTTGTAAATGAACTCTCCACTGGTTAGGATTAAAATTCAATTTTTGAAATATTTCTCCTGATGTAAAATTGTTTTTTATTAATTTTTTTCCTCTTCAGGAATAGAGTCTGTGTTCTGCATTGCAGCAAACTGCTGTGACCCAGCCTTGGAGTTTCTGAAGGGAGTGATTTGTCCTGAGCTCTTTCATGCTTACTTGAGCACCATTTTTAGACAGCCAAGGAAATGTCTGCTCCTGAGGCAAACAGCCTTAAACTGAGCCTGTGCCAGGAAAGGGCTCTTGCTGTATGATTTTAATTCTGGACTAACTGATTTTTTTCACTGTTCAAGTCGCCTGTTACTGCTCTGTTTCGTGTGTACTGGCGGCCTGCATAGATACAGTGTGGTGAAGCGTTCCTTGAAATAAAACCTTTTTTGCAACAACTTAAGAACATACCGGGATTGTGTTTGCAAACAAGTTTCAATGTTTCTTTCAAGTGCTTTAATTGCAGCTGCAGTGAATAGGAGAGAAGCAAAGTAATTTTCTGTCCTTTCCTCTGCAAATGAGTGTTGGGAGTTTGCCTGGGCCTGAAAGGAAACTTGCCATGGTATGAATGTTCTGACTTTCTTGCAAATTGCCTTCCTTTCTGTATTGCTGGAGGAGCAATACCTTTATTTCTCTCTCATATTTACTCTAGTGGCCAAAGGGGGACCTTCTGTCATCTCCAGATCTTCAGCTGTTGAAAGCTGATACCATTTTCATGAGGAGGAGCAGCAATATGGGGATGCTCCTACAAGCAAGGGGATAGTACTGTTAATCTGCTCTGTCCTGTCCTGTCTCCTTAATTTTGACCTGGGGAAAGGGAATGCTGAGCCTGAAGCAAGTAGCCAGAACTTGGGGCCAGGAAAAGACTAAGCTGAGAATCCATAGGGAGAGGCCAAAGCCCAGTGCATGGGAAAGAAAGTATAGGCCTAAGAAGATCAGAAAAAGGCAAATTTAAACCTACAACTTTGTTTGCAAATCTCATGTGGGGACTGCCTGACAATTCTTTTTTGCATTTTTGGGACTGACACTGTTTACAAATGGCTGTGGATTAAGTCTCTACAACTGGATGATGATGAGGTAAGTGGGAGAAAGTAGACATTGTAGAGACATGGTAAAAGATTGGTGCCATTTGTAAATGTAGCCACTGGTGCAGAGCAATGTTGGAGAATGGTGCGCCTACAGGTAAGCACTTGATCATGCCTGACCTGAGCCCTTGTGCTGCTTTTGGAATAGCAGTTGAAGCCTTTGGCTATATCACAAATATAAAACTCTGCAGAAATAGCTGAACTGCGAGCAGCCTGAAGCACAGTCATCTGATGTGGCTTCTAAGTCAGTAAGTTCTGCTGAAGCAGCTTTGAGCTCAGTCTTTGTGGCTGTGCCCTGTGTCACAGGAGTGCACCAGGCTGTTCAGCACCAGTGAAATTGCAGCTTGTAAACTGCTTTGCCCCAGAGCTCTCATGTGTTTTAATCTCTGAGTGGTCTGTAGTAATCTGGGACATGAGTTATCCACATGCCCCAGTATAGCCCCAAGGAGAAAGCGTTAAGATTGCCCTGACTCATTTCAAAATTTTCAAAAGGGAAAAAAAGTGCAGCTTACAATAAAATGAAAAAAACTAATATTGTGATGTTCCTGAACACAAACAAAAAACACCATCTGCTTTACTCACCTATATTTACAGTCACCTCAGGGGGCTGTCAATAAACAGGGAGCAATTATATCTGTTAACTTTTAGTATGTGTTGCTCATTTATATGGTGGTATGAACAGCTGTTTAAATTGTGGCATTCAAATGGTTCAGCATTAAGCTATTTTCATTAACTTTACTTTTGCTGTAAAATTTAAAAAAAAAAAAAGTTGGAATAGTTTTGCATATTATGTTTTTGCTTCTGTAATAATTAAACCACATTTTTCTTGTCACTGTTCACACATGCTACCCTGCTAGTAAGCATCTGTCCTGAAGATGTGTGATCATATAGCTCAGTGTTTAGAAGTCAAATAATGACGAAAATGCTACAAATGGCCCAAAATTAATATTGTCACATTTTTGGGAGCATATTGCAATAAGCCTGTCAATCCTGATTTTTCAGGCTGTACTTATGGCTTTCAGTGGAATTTAAAATGTCAGTTCAGGGGTGGGTGTAGTTTCTTCTCTGTGAGACTGTAAAAGGATTCTCTGGGGAACAATCAGTTTTAAATGATCCGTCTGGGACCAGGGTGAATACTGGCAGGGATGAAGACTTGGGTGAAATGAAGCTGGAGCCAGATCTTCATAGATATTGTAGATAACAGATGCCCACAAAAATTAGCCCTGTAATTAATGCAGCTATATATCAAACTCATAAATTACATATGAAAAAAACCCCCAATCTCTCATATTTTGTTAAAATAACAAGCAACAGCCTTGTCTTTTGAGAGGGTTGCTCTCTGCTGCTACAGCCTTCAGAAATGGCTTAGTCTGAAATGCTGTGCTTAGTTTGGTTGTCAAAATATTTTATGAACAATGCTCTTACTTGGGGGACAATTTTAGGCCTTGGGAGCTGAAATGCTTCTGCTATGGTTTCTAGGTTATCCAGCTCAACAAGGCTCAGCCTGTACTGATGGACAGTGTGAAGAAAGGTGTGGTGAGCTATTCTACACAGTTTGGAAACCTCACCTGGAGTTTTGTTTACTTATTATGCTGATGTTTGAGATCTGAACAGCAGCTGAGCCCCAAAACAGTAGAGGAGCAGCATGCAATCTCTGCCTTCTGGCTTTGTAACATCATAGGTTGGAAAAGACCTCTTAAGATCCAGTTGAACCATTAACCCAGCACTGCCAAGTCTGCCACTAAACCACATCCTGAAGTGCCACATCTACCACTTCTCTGGGTAGCCTGTTCCAGTGTTTGGCAGCTCTTTTGGTGAAATAAGTTTTTCCTGATATTTAATCTAAGCCCCCCCTGGCACAACTTGAGGCCATTTATTCTTATAATGTTGCTTGTTTCTTTAGAAGAGACCAATCCTCACTTTGCTACAACATCTCTTCAGGCAGGTGTGGAGAGTGTTGAGATATCCCCTGAGCCTCATTTTCTTCAGGCTGTACCTTGGCTGCTCCTCACAGGAATTACTTTTATCTTCTTGTCTTTTTCATGAGTGTTTTAATCTCTGGTGATGGATTCCTAGAAATTATTCCCAGCTTGTATTTTTTGGGGCCTAAGACCAGCTGGGCCAAGTGCACCCCAGACAGAGCGTGGCCAGAGAATACCATCCAGTTACATCAGAGACACAAGACTTGGTGTTTGGGAACATCCTCTCCTCACCAGGGTAACTAACTCCCAGAAGACTCTCATACAGGGGATTTCTCCTTCTCTCATCCTGCCTCTCTCTTCAACACCTTGCACGAGCCCTGCAGTTTCAAGGTTCACTGCTGTCTCATCTGTGAGGGGATCAGAGCTTCCCTCTAAGGGGATGGATCCCCAGACAGAGAGACCCAAGAGAATGAACACAGAACATCTAATTGGTAAGCCTTGTTTTGTGTGTTTTGGGTTTCTTCTCCATAATATTAAAAAGGAGCAGTATTAACCAAACAAAAAAGTTACATTTGATCTACATTTGATGTACAACATAGACTGGAGATGAAAACTCTTCTCAGCTGCTTGAGTGTCAATCTGCTGAGTGCTGGCATTTTTTCCCATCTATTCCCCTGTCTGTGGATTGTGTCATTCTCAGCAGGCACCCTCACAGTGGGCTCGGGTGGATGATGCTACAACCCAAAATTGCAAAGGAGGTTTTTCATAACCAAATTTGTCACTGGAGAAAAAGATCTTCAGATATTTTCTGTAAGCTGTTCATTTATGTGAAATTAGGAGAGAGTAAAAGCATTGAGTTCTGCTGAACAAAACATCCCTTCATGATTAATTTGCTCAGATTTCAGATTAAGAATTGTGAATGATGCCTATTCTATGACTTTGCTTGATCTTTTTTCACTGATTAAAAGACACTTGACTGCTGGTACTTATGTACCTGTTGTAGCCTGCCACACCACTAGTGTAATGTGAAGCACACTGTGTGGAGAACAGATAACAGTGAAAGGGTTAAAGATTTTCACACTAAATCCTAATAATCCTGTTTTTATACAAATGGCCTTAAGGTTTGCACAATGATTTCCTTAGGGAAGCTCCTCAGATCAATTTTGCCACTGATGGCACAGTGCCTGCTGATACCACATAAACAACCAGTGATTTAGAATTGCTGGGTTTTTGGGAAGGGTGAGGAGGAAAGTTGGGCTCCTGGCACACCAGTTCTGTGCCCAGCTCTCTGGGAATCCTGAACCCGGACCCTTCTGAATGCAAATGTGTTCACATGTGATAATTCAGTCTGCATCAAGGGGCCTCAGAAGCAGAATGGGCAGAGCTGGGAGCAGCCAAGGGCTGGATGTCACAGCCGGGTGTGCAGCCACCACTGCAGCAGGCACAGCCCGGCCACGCACAGGGACCCAGGAGGGGCAGGGGCTTCAGCAGGGCTGTGCTGTGTGTCCTTCTCCCGGCTTGCTGGGAATGTTCTGACACACTTGTCAGTCCTGCTCTGCTGGTCTGCCAGCTCCTGCCTTACAGATCAGGGAGCCTCGTGCTCTTTTAGGGTCCTGACAAGCTGGGGATTTTTTTCTTCCAGAGTATAAATTGAATTGGTTCCTGTTTCTCATTTCTGGCCGCATGTGAGTTTTATTTGGTATCAGAAATTTCCAGTGCTGCCCTACACCTTTGAAATAACTTACCTTGCTACTGCCTTCCCTTCAGGCACTAAAATAATGCAATTAGTTTTAGATTTGTTTTATTTTATTAGAACGAAATTTTGAGATGAGATGAGCTGAATGCACTGAGACAGCTGCTTAAAATACATGGGCATGCATTTTGACAAGCAGTAATTTTGAAGTTCTGCTGAACAGTCCAGTGGATGGACTGGTCCATTAATATTCCTAAAAATGTTCATCTAAAGAAAGCAGGACTTCCCCTTATTTACCTTGCTGCTTGTTTCACACAGACAAAATCCTTTGCCCCACCCAGCAGTTTCATACTTGTGGTTACTCCACCCATTCATTTATTTCTCTTTCACATCCCCCATCTTTGGTAATATCTTTCATTTTCCTCATTTTTCCTGTTGCAAAAATGTATTTTCTGAATGTTTTTAAATTTTCTGTGTAGAAGGGCCATAAAGTTTGGTTAGATGTGTTATGGCTTTCTTTGAGTGATGGGAGGGAGGAAGAGGGAGTGAATTTCTGTGGACTTTGTGGTCCCATGTAATTGCCCTAGGCTAGATGTACATCCCTGGGATGACTTCTCAAACTTTTCGTTCTTTCTCCTCTTCCTTTTATTTTTTATAGCTGACAGGCAGGAAGGAATTGGTGTCTGTGGCTGGATCCTGGTTTCCCTTTCATTCCTCCTGGTGCTTATTACCTTTCCTTTTTCCATCTGGGCATGTATCAAGGTAAGCTAGCAGGATTTGAGAATGCCCTATTATCATTGCTGTTGCTTTTTTACTGATGTAGTTAAGACAAGGCACCTCACATTCACATTTTGGGAATCATAAGGGTTTGTAGCAAATATGTGCTCTGGAAATGAGATCCACACAGGTTCTTTCACAAATATTCTGTGTTGCAAAACTTACTCAATTTCTTCCAGTCTCAGCATTCACCATCAGTTAAATTTCCAGTTAAACATCAGTGGAATGCCAGGCCCTCAGTAGTTGTGATGCACTAAGTGAAGTGGGTTAGATTATCTGAGGTTAGAGCCCTTTTGCCTACAACTCTTCTGAGTGTGCTGCTGATGTTGAGAGAGCTCTGGGGTGTCCTTTTTAGATCACTTCATATGTGATCTGTTTTGTTACCTGTTTCCATGAGCTGGGTTTGAGTTCTTACAGCAAATCATGAGTCAAGTAGAAGACATGAAGAAAGTGATTTTCAGCTTTGTTTCTTCCTATATTCTTTGTACTTCACATTTAATATCGGTGCCAAAGATTAAAGGACCAGGGAATGAAAATAGAATTAGTTGTAAAATTCTAAATTTAAAATATTTTCCTAGGTTGTCAGAGAATATGAACGTGCTGTTGTATTTCGTCTGGGACGTATTCTGTCTAAGAAAGCAAAGGGACCAGGTGAATGCATGCAGTTTTTCTCTGCTAAAGTCCTCTGGGTTTGTTTATGTTATTACAGTGCACTCAGGCCACACAGAGAATTGCAGAGATTCCATGAAATCCTTCTTCATAGCATAGAGGGGAATGAGAATGTCCCCTCTGCTGCAGGTCCTTTACCTGCAGACTGTTTACTTTTCTCAAGAGAAGATACAGCCAGCCTCCTGTCATAGCACAGAAGTTTGAGTACCTGAGTACCTTGATACCAGGTGTGACTTTGCTACTGAGCAATCTGGACAGCAAGGATGAGTTCATGCTGCAGACACTGTCAGGGGACTGCAGGGAGGTTTAAGTGCAGTGTTCAGGTCTGCCACGGTCTTTTTTTAGTGACTGTGGCCTCTTTCCCTGTGTGTCACTTCCAACACAGCTTGTTGCTGCCACCTGCTTACTGTCCTCCGCCCTGAAAATGGCAAATGTGTCAGGGCAGGGACACTCAGCAGCTACACCGAGGCTGCTACAGTGCACTAGGACCAGCTTACAAACCACAAACCAAACCCAGCTACATGAGGAGTTTGCATTGGTGCAGTTACCACCTCTGGGCAATAAAAAGGGCAAATTGGAAGTTGAAATAACAAGAAAAAGTCCTTTTCAGGTACTGTCATTCTTCTTGAATAGTAGTCATGTGGTCCAAAGAGCAGCTAGGCCTGGTACAGGGCTCCTCTGTGTGGCTCTGGGCACCAAAGCAAGATGCTGAGATTACAATTGAAGATTGGAAGTTTTGTCCAGTCTCCCTCTCCAGTGAAGGAGAGTGGAGACTCCTTCACAGGATTTGTCACATCTTGGGACAATGTTTCTCATGTGGTGCAGGAATCACCTGGGTGATGTCTTTCCTGAGGATACATACATGGCTTGTGATTTAAAAAGGGAAAATTAAAGGTATGGAAGGAATTTTTGCCAAGCGTCTCATGGCAGACTTCAGACAAGAGCTTCAAAATGCCCATTTCCAGACAAGAGTCCTAGGTCATTAAGCTCTAATGAGTTCACATTATTTGCAGATATCTGCACTTCCCTCTGTTATTTGAAAATGCGAAACATCACTGTTGTCATGTCTTGTAAGCAGAAAAGACAGCTGCAGTGATAAGGCAGGGTGTTATTCCGAATCCTGTGGGTATTTCCATCTGTTTATTTTCCCTACATTACCCAGATCTGAACTTTTGTTTTAGAGGTGTTTCATCTAATAATTTTTATTTTTCAGGAATGATCCTTGTACTTCCATTTACAGATACATTTATCAAGGTTGATCTCAGGACAGTTACCTGTAAGATTCCTCCACAAGAGGTAACTTCTCTAGCAGCCATCTATGACAGGAACAAAAGATGCAGCAGATTCATGGCACAATCAAAAGTAATGCACATTTTGTAATTTTGCCACACTGAGCTACCATATGGAATTTAGCTACCACATGGAGCTTAGCTTTTTTGCTGTATCTTCTGCATTTCAAGCTGCTTACAACACAACTTCTTGCCCAAAGTAATTATGGGTGCCCCATCCCTGGGAGTGCTCAAGGTCAGGTTGGTGTGGGCTCTGAACAACCTGGTCTAGGGGAAGGTGTCTCTGCCCATGGGAGGCAGGTTGGAACTGAGTGATCTTTAAGGTCTCTTCCAACCCAAACCATTCTATGATTCTCCTAATGAAAATCTGAAGATGCATCATTGCAGGTCAAGCTGGTGTTCAGAACTGTGATTTCAAAAATGAGGGAAGGGAGTTACACGTGTAAATGTGAGACAGGGTGGACAAGAGAGGAGCAGGCTACAAAATTCCCAGTTGTAAATTAATGTCCTAATAAAATTGGATCTCACATGTAGCTCACCATTCAAAAGAGCCTTCTACATGTGTCTGGAAAGGCAAATTACCCATGGGTAACAAATCCCATTAAATTAACAGGAATTAGCAGACAACCTTCCACAAAACTCATGTCCAGGAGTTGGAGGATGGAGGAAGCAAGATATACCAAGTAGGATATATCTTCAGGCATTTTGTTGGCAAGTTTTGACTGAAAAATTTAGTCTGAAGGATAAGTTGTTGAGCAATCCTGTCTGAACAAGTTTTGGTTCTGTGTGGACTCAGCCACATGGCAGAAAAATTCTTCTGCTTATGGAGTTTACACTGCTGTCCCCTTCATTAAACAAAGAGCAGAGAGAGAAGAGGCAGCTCCAAGACCCTTTGGGCCCCCAGAATTTCCTACTGTGTTCTCCAGGAGATGTTTTTTGGGCTATTATCTTTTTGTAAACAGAAAGAGCCTTTTCTCAGAGTACAGGGTGCAGGGGTGTGTAGTGTGAAATGAAAAATGGCTCCCCCAAAATATGAGGCTGGAAAGAAGAGATGGCTGCAGAACTTGTATTGTATAAGGCTTAGCAGCTTTTGGCCAGGCTTCTGCAGCATTTGGCAGGGTTTCTGTGAAGCATTCACTTGTAGGCAAAAGATGCTGAGGAGGGAAGTGATAGCGGAGCATCGCCAGTTCTCCACTGAGGCCAGCTGCCTTCTGAGGCACAAGAAGCATGTCTGGCAAAAAATGACAACTCTTCCATGAATGCTTAAATATTTCTTTCCGTTTCTTCTCATAATTCCTTGCACTTTTTGTTTTAATTTGTTGGTGTTTATTACAAATACATTGTTTAGGGGAAGTAGCACAGATCTTCCAAGCTGCATGAAATGTATAAGCTCATTAATGGAACTTTCTACAAGAAAGGAAGAGGATAGCTAGAATTTGTTATTGCAAAAGAAATTAACTCAAATTATGAGATTCACTTACAATTGAAGCAGTTATTTAGAGGGTATGTAAAGCATTTTCCCCCAGTTTAAACTTTGTTGTTGCTGGACAGCTGTCTTGAAATAATTTCTTGGGGGAATAACAAAGAAATCAAAAGAAATTCTTAGTTTCTTTGAATTATCAATGCCTTTTACTCACTAAGGGTTAAAAAAAAATATATTCCTCTTCCTAGGCAAAGGACATGTTGTTGGATCTTTCTGTGACTCTGTGCATTTCTCAAACACAGATTCTCACGAGGGATGCTGTTACTGCTCAGGTGGATGGGGTGGTGCACTACAGGATCCACAGCGCTGTCAGTGCTGTTGCCAATGTCACTGATGTCCACTCTGCGACCTTGCTTCTGGCACAGACAGCCCTGAGAAACTTTCTGGGTACACAGAGCTTGGCTCAGCTGCTGACAGGTCGTGAGGAGATTGCACACAGTATCCAGGTAAATCTGGCACTCAAAATTCATAAGCATGGAGGTGTCTTCTGGGGAGTAGCAAATTAGAAACAATCTCTCTTTCTTTCTTCAACAAGGATAACAAAATCTTCCTTTATGTGTTTTTTTTTTCAATTATACATCTCGTTTCTTAGAGTCAGAAAGAGTTACTCTAAAGGTATTTCCCCAGGCTCTTGTAGCAGAATTGTCTCTATCAAAAAGCAATTAAAATTCTGAAATTATCCAGTGATTTTAAAAAATCAGCTTAGCCCTTGCAAGTTCCAAACATGCAAAACTGGAGAAAGAGATCTCCTGCTCATGGGAAGTTCTGTCTTGAGCAGACCCTTGATTGAGGCAAGACTTGTATCTCCTGTCATTACAAGTAAGAGCACAAAATTGATTTACTGTATGCTTTAAAATGCCATCTGGTTTCTTTTTTGATTTGGCAGCCAGGGGGAGAGCAGAGGAAAAATCCAATACCCAATTTAATAATTTCAGTCAGAGACAAGGAGACAATTTCAGTCAGACCAAAGAGAGACTGTACCCTCTGCAGCCAGGAGAGTGGCCATGCAGAGACAGGGTCATGGTGGTGGTGTGGATTGCAGGAGTGCCCAGGAGCCAGAGCCCACATGAGCGTGCCAGTGCTGCAGGGCTCTCTGGTGTCTCACCCATGGTGTACTTTTACTGTGTTGTGCTGTTTAAGGAACTTGCTGTAGTGTTCCTTTGTAAAAGAAAGAATTTTAGTACCTGCCCGCCTAAGGAATGGGGATGGGGATCATAATTTAGGAAGCAGGAGAGAAGCCACACAGGAGACACTGGTGTTGACCAGCAAGTGTTTCCTGAGGCTGTGGTACCCACTGTGCACACACCACACTGGGTGCTGGTGCCCCTGGAGTGTCCCTCTTTCTGCTGTGCAGGTTTGCCCTGTCCTTCTATCCAAGCAGGGTACACCACGTGGCTTTCCCTCTGCCAGCACTGTGCTTTTCCTGGCGTGTTGTTTGTCCCCAAGGCTGCCCTCGACAGTGCCACGGAGCAGTGGGGAGTCAAAGTGTCCCGTGTGGAGATCAAAGACATCCGGATCCCCATGGCCATGCAGAGGGCAATGGCAGCTGAAGCAGAGGCTGCTCAAGAGAAAAAAGCTAAGGTGAGACCCATGACAGGTGACACCCACCTCTAGGCTTTCATTTCCTTGTCATAGAACCACAGAATTGCTTAGTATGAACAAGACCTCTCAGATCACCAAATTCAGCTCTTAAACTCAGCACCGCCGAGTCCACCACTAAACCACGCCCCTAAGCACCATATCTGCATATCTGTTAAATGACCACCAGGGTTAGTGACTCCACCACATCCCTGGGCATCCTCTTCCAACACTTGACAGCCTAATTTTTTTCCTAATATCTAATGGGAACCTCCCCTGGGGCAACTTGAAGGCCATTTCCTCTTGTCCTGTGGTTCCAGGAATCCAAGCTAGTTGTTTTTTCTCATCATTACAAAGCTGGATTTTCACCACTCTGGGCAACATTTCCATGCCATTTCCATTTCTGTTCCTTTGCAGGTTGTGGCAGCTGAAGGAGAAATGAATGCTTCCAAAGCTCTCCAGAAGGCCTCCATGGTGCTGGCTGAGTCTCCAGCAGGTCTGCCACTGCGTTACCTGCAAACATTAACAGCTGTGGCAGCACAGAATAATTCCACCATTGTCTTCCCTCTCCCTATGAATATGTTTGGGAGTTTGGGGCAAAAACGTACAGGGGGATAGAGACTGTTCTGTGCTAGCTCCTAGGCCAGAGGTATTTAAAGGTTTTCCTAGGAAGCAAAGGGGTCCCAATTGGCAGAGTTAAAGTAGAAGCATGTTTAGGTCCTCTGCCCCCAAAATAAGTTTAATAACCACACATAGCTCCCACATTTAGACTGCATTTGCAAAGTTCAGACACTAAGCAGTTCCAGCTTAGACTCACCTGCAAGTAAAATGAAAGAAAATATGTAAAATATATGTTAGATCTAATATAAAATTTTAATGATGCTTTCACCACTCTTTGCAGAGTCTTGAGTGTTGCAATTATTTGGTGATTTGTCTGCTAGGCAAGAAGCTGTGAGCTGTTGATATACTCCACACAGCAGAAGGGTCAGACATCGGTTTTTAACTCAAGCCTTGTGGAGTGGAAAGGAAGGATTTGGCTCTTAACCTTAGAGGTATTCTTTCATAAATATTGGCAGAAATACTGGATAATGGGTATGTCAGTGAAACAGCCTATTCTTTATCTAATATTAATAGAAATTAGTACTTGCTTTACTGACCACAGCTGTGTTTTGCCATATCACTGACATTTATATAAGCTCTGTAATAAAGTTAAGAGAATGAATGACCAGGCATTACAATGACATTTCATAAATGTGAAAGCTGGGGCAAACCTCGAGGTTCTCTGTCAATTTAAGTGTCTGTCTTACACTTTCAGTAGGTTTCTTATCTTCCTTTACATGAAGCATTAATTGAGGTTTACCAGAAATGAGCCTTCCCTACCCTCCATCCATGCAATGCTTGGCAGCTGAGAGGAAGATGTTGCCGATATCCAGATCCGGCTGATACTAAGTTGGAGTTTGCAGCCTTTAAAGATAGCTGTTCAGTTCTCAGTTCAGGCACACAGCAATGAACTGTTTTCTGTGAATCTGAAATTTCTGGTGATGGAGCTGTTTTGGCAGGTGCTGCTGCAGTATAATGTCTTGGCCACACGAGCATCGCTGTTGCCCTTTCTACCAGTAGAGTCTTTTTGACTCCAAATTAACCACCTCAGCATGTACCTACTAATTATCATGGCAATGATACAGGTCCTTCTTATTTTTACTGCAGTGTAGCAGAAGCAGTCCAGGTGGCAAATGTTTGTGCTCAGTAGCTGCTGACACAGATAGTGGAATAAGCAGCTGAGGATGGTGACCTACACAGTTCTTTTCTGCTTCAGACATGACTGCCAAATGGCATTTTGCTGGCAAGCTAAAGAAGCAGTACCTGTGGTTGAAAGTAATCTGCTTATCAGCATTACCAAAACATTTTCTTATCCTAAGAAAAGAGCAGTTTTGAGTTAAACTCTAGAAAAATAAAAGCTTGAAAGACATGTGGCTAGAGAGTGCAATTAAAAGCAATTCTGTGCCCTTAGTGAGCTACCAGCCCAACAAGCCTGTGGAGGAGTCCAGCACAGGGCATGTTTAGTGTACCACTTCTAGTTCCAGCTGTAGAAGTGTATGGAACCCAGCCATAGGGTCAGCAGGACTCACAATTACAGCCAGAAACCAGCTGCTGCATTGAAGCATGAGTTGGTATCTCTTCTCTTTCAGCAGCAGTGTAACACAGGTAAGCTCAACAAAGCCCAGTTTTCTTTTTGACCCATTAAAATGTCTTGGCCTTTTTAAAAATATTTTTTTCTTGCCCAGGACTGTGGGAATTAATCAGACACTGCAGAATGTGTTTTTCTTTTTGAGTCTCTGCAGGACAATTGCACTGTTGTAGGAAACTCAAGGAGACACAAACTCCTGCTCTCTCTTCCCCACTGTCAGGTACAAGAAACACAGTAACTAGTAGAGGAACTGCATTTTTATTGTATTACCCACACACACCCACAAGAGGATAGCCCAATGAGTGAAATGGCAATGGAAGCAGCCCTGCAATGTTTCAGGCGGCACTGGGATGCATAGGCTTTGCAGGAAAAATTCTGGGAGAAGGTGAGCTGCAGTCCCAGAGAGATGTGGGGGTCAGAGCCATCGTTCAGACGTGGCACAGGCTGTCAGAGGTGCTCAGGAAGTCCTGCAGGCGAGCACAGCTCTGCCGGCGCAGACTGCTGCGGCACTCACTGTCCTCTGGAATTTTCTCCACCCAGGCTTGTGCATCAAGTAAGTATTGCATCCTGAGTGAAAATGGAACAGGTAACGAAGGTTAGTCATTATTCCTGACATGGAGCAATGGGAAAGCGTAATCCCTGAGCATCCCTTCACAGAGGCATCTCTGAAATAAAGACTTATACTAGCTAAGAAACTTGCCTTCACCAGCAGGTTAACTGAGCTTTGAGCAAAGTCTGGGCTGTGTCAGTGCCAAGCTGGGACACACCTGGCTGTACTTGTGTTTTGAGTATGTCAGGTAAGCCTAGGCTAAGTTTCTGTTAGAGTTTCCAGAATGACACAAAAGGCCCAAGTGCACATCAGTGGGACAGTGAGGGGAAGTTTAGTTCCAACAGAGTATGCCAATGAGAAGCTGTGTAACTTCCAGTATTTCATGCCTGAATTGGAGAAGATGTTGGAGATGAAATCTCTGCTGGGACACCCCAGTCTCTATCAGGCTTCTTTCAAAGCAGGCCACGGACCTAGGCACTCACTTTGATGTCATATGGGAATGGGACGTTTTAAGGTTTTAGGAACCTTTAGGAATGGTGCTCACAGCTTCATGGAGATCTCCTCCATAGAAGCTTTCAGAGGCATTACCTTTGTCCAGTTCTGTGCAGGGAGATGAAACATTTAGAATGTCTTCCTCCCTGAATATTTGATAGTGTCATACTAAATTCCCACTCAGATAAATTTCCTTTTTTTCATTGAAGTGTGACAGTGAGAAATGACAACAATATGCTACTTGCATGCATGGTGTAACAGCAACCTTGGGAGCTGCTCTTAGTCATGGTCCCACATGTTTCTTCTGCAAACCCAGGAGTTATTTAAGGCATCTGCAGTAGATGGGCTGGATCTCTTTTCCCATTCTCCTTTTCTAGCTGTGAGTTTTTAACCCAAGGGAACCAGGGACAGATTTGATTCTGAGAAGTCTGGCAACCAGAATTCTGGGAACCAGAGATCCTTGAACCAAAAGATTTGGGTGGCTCAGCTCTTCCCCAGAGCTCCACTTTTGCCTATGGAGTAGAACACTTTGCATTTTAGTAAATTCAGGAGAATCATTCCCATTTGGTGCTGTCTTTACTTTCTGGAGGTATTCTAATAGATTGAGTATCCTCTGGGTTTATGGTCCATGATAGCAGCTGCTGCTGCTGCCCAGAGACCATTTTGCACTTACTTGTTGTTGCAGTCCACTGTTTGCCCATCTCTCCCCATGAGGAGGTAGCGTTTGCCAGGGATGATGTTTAACTTGCACATGGAGCGTGACAGGAACTGTCGGTGCTCACCCACTTGGATGCTTTCATCTGCAGCTGTGGGAAAAGAAGAGGAAACCCCATGAACTTTCCCAACAGAGAGAAGAACTGTAGCCCACAGGACACAACCCCCTGTGATCACTCGCCCCACTGCTAAGCCAAGGTAATATTTCACTTGGGAATTGGCACTTGACAAGTGAATAAGTGGCCCTGCTATGGTAGGGTACATTTCCCTTAGCGTGACCTGACAGAAAGCAAGCCACTTTTGCCTTAGCAGATTGTCTTGGTGTTTGCAGTAATTATTTAAGGAGATGCTTTCTTATAGACCTTAGGACATTTCAGACCTTATGGAGTTTGCTTAAATCTCAGAGACTGAAGAAAAAGCCAAGGAAACTAGAAAACATGCTGTCTTCCATTTCAGAATGCTCATGTTCAGGGTGGTCTTACAATCTAGCAAACTAAATTCAAACATTTTGAGGCCCAAAAATGCAGCAGACAGTATTAAAATCTCCCGCTCCTTAGTACATCTGACCTGAACTTTGCTAATGCAGCCTTTATGCTCTTTCCTCTGAATCTGTTACAGAGCACAATCTCCTGGTGATCTCCATGTTAAACTAACTTAGAAGATTCTCGTCTGGATTCTGGCCCAGAAGTTTATTAATTCAGAATTTCACTGCCTACTACAGAACTGGGCATCCAAGGCAGATGAGGTGGCTGCTCAGATACTGCAATGACATGAGAGCTGAAAAGATGCTTATTCATCTGACCAATCTCAGGTCATGAGGACACTATGTTTTTTAACTAGAACAACAGTTTTCAAAGTCCATAAAAAAAAAAAAAATCTAACAGCAATACCTAATTTCTTACTCTCTTTCTAATTTTCCTGTAAAAATTCAATATTAAATCAGTTTAAATTAAGTGTAAATAACACCATGGTCTTTTTATCAGTTAACAGAATCTTGTGCATCATCTGTTATAATATAGAGTATTGTATTACAAGTATGGACAGGCTAGTCATCAAAATCCTAAAAGCAGAACAAAACTAAAGTAGAATATTCTAACATTAATTAGATTTCAGAGAATTTGGCAGAGACTGCTAATCTGTGAAACCTAGCTTTAAGAGCGTTATTTACCATATTGGTAAAACTTGCATCAGTTTAATATATGTTAATTATGCTTCTGCATTTTTAGAGAGAATATAAGTCCTGTAGGTTTCTCATATAACCCAAGACCTTTTTACTGTTCCTATGCTACATAGTGTTTTCATTTTGTTCACAGAATGCGGAGATGGGTCAGAATTGCTTGAGAAAATGATGATGTTATGCCTCATTTAGCTTAAATTACCAAGGTGTTTCTCAGTTCATATGCTTCACAAATGGCCTAATACAATTCAGACAGTGGGATCATAAGCATTTGAGTCATTACCTTGAGTAGTTATTATGTAATTTCCAATTTTAAATCTCCAATTAAAAAAAAAGTTGAAATTTAACATTTCAAAGCATCCAAGTGGAATTTAAGGTAAACAATTACTTAGACATTTAGAATCTATAATGGGAAATAATGTTTAAAAAGGGGAGCGGGAGGGGGATGAAGAGGTAAAAGAAAGGTTCTGTGCTACTTTGTATGGGCTATACTGTTC